GGACCATCTGCTTGCCCAAATCCAGGTGTACAACGAACCTAGGGAGCCCACGAGCAGCACAGCCCCTCCTGCCAGCCCATGCCAGGACCTCTGTAGAGCTGAGCACCCAGCCTGGCTCCTGCATCTCAATTTAAAAAATCGTGTATTAGCAACAATTAAAAAAAAAAAAAAATCAATGTAATTTCACACAAACTGCAGTGGTTTATCTGCCCAGCTCTGCGAGACAAGTTACCACCAGCCCGCGTGTGTGATTTTGCCGAGCCACAATTTAAACCCATGCCAACAGGTTGCAGTGGGAGAAAGGCAATGATCTCAAGGCAGGTAACAGCAGGGAAACCTCGAAGCAGTCGCCACCTGCGTGCAGCCAGAGCATTGTCACCATCTGCCCCAGCTGCAGGGAGGGGAGCAGGACCAGCCCTGCCCATGCAGCTGGGCTTGAGCACGGCCTGGGGGGGGGATGCTCCAGCCCAAGTCCTAAAGGGTCCCACCAGATTTCTGGGTTTTATCAGCACCCTCTTCACTGCCAGGCAAGCAGCCCCAGTTACCCCCGGCAGGTCCCAGATTCCGGCGTTTTTTGGGGTCTCTGGCTCCAGCAAAGCCCCCGTGCTCAGGGATACATTATCTGACATCCTCTCATCATCTGACATCCCCTCAGTCCGGGGGCTACACCTCCCTCCCCCAGCTCTTCACCGTAATCCCCACCATTTTCCACCATCATTTAAGTTTCTGAAGTAATTTCTTTTTTTCTTTTTTTGTCCTTTTTTTTTTAAAAAAAAAAAAAAAAAAGAAGCAAACCATCTACCATATGTTCTCCCCTGAAAGGGGCAATTGTTAACAGATCATTAAAACACCGTGGCGAGTGCTCTGAGATTCCTTCCCTCAGTCTTACGCATTATCCCGTCTCTGTCACCCTTTCAATGCGGCTTTGAGGGCTCTGCTTTTCTAACTTCCTTCTCCGGGGGGGAAAAAGAAAAAAAAAAAAAAAAAAAAAAGAGAGAGAAAGAGCCACTAAAATGACCCTCTTCACAGCTCTCCTCCTTGCTTTTCAATGTCTTTGGCGACACCCAGCAATAATTGGGGCGGGGGGCTGGCGTGCCGCTGCTGCTGTCACCGGGCTGGGGGTGGCAGGGCCACATCCTGCCCCGTTCCCGAGGTGCCAGGGTTGGGCTGGCAGGATGAGGGGTGGCAGGGGTGCTGCAGGCAACCTCTCCTTCCACTGCTTGTCATGGGAGGCTCAAGGATGGCATCCCAGCCAGGCTGGTGCTGTCCCCGCTCCTGGCGTGGGGCTGTGGGGTGACCCCAGGACACAGCATTCCTCAGAGACCCTCTTCCCTCAGGTAAACCGGGTGCTTTCAGCTGCACAAATGCATTTGATATAATGCTGTAATATAAATAAACTAAGAGCTGGCTGGGAAGTGAGCTAAGCCCTGAGATGGAGTGGTTTGAGCGGCTTGGATATTTCACCTCCCTTTCCTGCAGAACTAACACTATTTTAGGAAATGCCAAATGATGGGAAGATGGAGATCACGGAGAGGATGGACCACTTCTGCCTGAGCAGCAGCCTTGGCTTGAGGGACACTCCCTGCAGGCTCTGCACTCCTGTTATCAGGAGGGACAAGGCTTTTGGAACTCACACAGAAGCTCCTTACCTGCATCTTCTCCCCTTCCACCACGGATTTGGCCATTTCTCCAGAGGACTACTCTCCCTGACTCATCCAGCTGCACAATTTGCACCTCTGCTCTACTCTCCCAGCAGCCAGCACAAGGCCCTGTGAATTTGCACTGGGCCGTGCTGCATGGCACCAGAGAGAGCACAACACAAAGAGGGGGAGAGGCAGCTGTCCCAGACAGCAAAACCCAGTTAGGCTTGGAAAAAAAAAACCACAGAAACTTCAAAGCCCTGCACACAGGCTTCTCCAAGAACTGATATCCCAGAGCAGCTTTAGGGACCTCAGAGGGCTCATTGCCCTTCAGCCAACAGGTTTTTCTCCAAACCCCTCGGGGTTTATTTTAACCCAGCAAGGTGCAGCCTGGAGCTGGAGGAGATGATGCTGCTCTGCTTTGCCTCTGCCCTGAACAGGTCCCACTGCAGAATCCCTGAGCATCCTGGCAACACTGAGGCAAAGAAATGCTCACCTGGTGCCAGGAGCTCCTTGTGCTTCCCCAGGCAGCCCCTCCCATCCCAGAACCCCTGGTGCTGACCCACGAGGAACCTCCAAGCAGGTTCCGAGCCCTGTGATGGGGTTGGGATCAGAAAAACAATGCCCAGAAGGATGAGGTGGCTGTGTCCTGGTGTGCACATGCCAGGCAGGTCGGCTCCTCTCTTCTCCTTTCCAGGAACGGCAGCTTTCAGCTCTTCATCAAGGACAAAACTTTCCACAGAAATAAAAGCATCTCCCTCAAAGGAGCAGGCTGGAAATCCCAATTTCCTGAGGGCATTTAACAGCTGCCTTTACCGAGGGCTCTGAACGCTGCTGCAGGGGAAAAACTTCATCCCTTAGAGCTGCAGAGACAGACTCCGGGCCAGGAGCTGAATCCAAACCCAAGCAGAGCTTTCATCCCGAGGGCACAAACAGACGGAGCCGTGTCAGTTTTAAGCAGCCCCGAGTGTGATTCTGACAAGACAAACAGCAGCACTGCCCTCCCCCAGGACATTAAATGAGGATGCAAACCCAAAGCAGTTTCCGTGCCACTCGTGTTCCTGTGGTCGAGGTGATGTTCCTGGCCCAGCCCAGCCCACGGGATCCCGGCAAACTGCTTTTTTCCTTACCAAAAATCAATTCCTGAACCCACACAGGGACCTTTGAATAATCAGCTGGTGCAGAAAAGCCGTGAACGCTGGGAAGCCCTAGGGAAGAAAAGAGCTTTAGGAAGACAAATCTACGAAACAACTTTTGGCTACATAGCTTTTACATCTGAAACGCTGATGTTTTTCCCCATCAGGGGGAAATTAGCTCATCCCACCTCTGAGGAATGAAGGTGAAGTTGTAGCCAGCTGTATCCTGGTTACCTGGTTATCCATCCCAGGAACAGATGATAATCCCTGCAGAGGTTCGGCGCTATCAAAGGATTTCCTCGGAATTTGTGCCTGTACAAAGCAGCAGAGCAGGGGAAAGAAGAAACCCTGGTGCCGTAGGGAGGCAGAGGTTTAATTCCCAGCGAGCAGAAATTTAATTAGTGCTCTGCGGTATCCATACCAGCAGAGGGAGACCTGCTCGGCATTTCTGCTCTAATTTCTGCGCTAATTAAAGATAAAGATTAAAGTGCACAGAAACTGTACTGATGCCCCAGCCGGGCACCCAGCTCGCCAAGTGCAGCACCCGAGTGCTGTGCCAAGTCTGGGGCATCGTGAAATAGAGAGGTAAATCCCTTTTTCTGAATGGTGATGCAAAGCAGGAACCCGTGGAGCACGAACCGCTGGCAGCTCTCAGTCGTCAGAGCGCTTTAAAATTGCGCAGAATAATCCATAGCCCCGGGAATTTGGGGAGCTGTCTCAGTCTTTTAAGGAGCATTTTCTTAAATGAGGTTAAGGATGCATCTGTGAGGAGCAGGCCACAGCTGTGGCTGCTCCTGCCAGGAGGCAGGGATTCAATTAGATCAGCATCCTTCACCCATCTGAAGACAATTTTCTCATCAGCTCTCTGGAAAAGGCAGCTGAGCAGAGAATTGCTGCATCTCTCCTCCCAATAGGCATCATCCCTTCCTCCAGTCACCATGGCCTGTGAAGCCAAGAGTTGATTTCCTCAGATCCTAGGGAATGGGAAGGGTCAATCGTTTTTGAATCCATCATTTATTAAACGAAATCACACATGGTTTGCTTTGTGATTGTCAGGTTGACATCACTCCCACCCAAGCACCAGGGTGAACGACACTGGAGATGGCTGAAAATTCAGTACAGCCCACAAATTTTCTTCTGAAGGGATAAATGCTCTCTTGTATCCCAAAATATCCTCCCCGTTTCATTTCATTTAAACCACTTGAAATTTAACCACAGTGGCTTCTGTCACCTCTTGTTTTCTGGGCTACCTCATATTTCACATCAACCCCACATTTACAAAACACTATCAGAAAAAAAAAAAATTACTTTTGTCATCAAAGGAGAACTGCCTTTGTTATCCCCACCTTCCCAGCCCAGTCTCTGCTACAAACCAACTTCAGCCTCAATTTTCAGCTCCATCCTGCCAAGCTGCTCCTCCTTCCTCTCTTTGTACACAAAAAAACCCACCCTTAAAACACACCTTGCTTCCTAACTTAGCAGTTCTGCACATTATTCGAGGCAGAGAGCAGGAATATTTGTGTAAAATGAAATAATTAGTAGCCATGTGCAGGGCCCAGCGCTAGAGTGTGCTGTGCTGCCCGTGCTGGACTGGGATCTCTCTCCCTAGAAACCACCAGGAACACCAAAGAACTGGGTGAGTCCTTTTTTGGCTCCTGGAAACACATAAAGTTTGCTCAGAAATTCCTGGTGAAGGCAAGGAGTTAAGCAGCAAACGCTGAGATTTGAAGAAACCAGAAAAAAATGTCCAGGACAAGGAAATTTTTTTTTAAAACAACAAAAAAGGGCAACAAGGAAAGAATAAAATCAGGTGTTGCCCTGTTTTTCTTTGTGGAGTGTTCGACAAGCAGAGATTTTTCACTCAGGATATAAACCTGCTTTATTCTCATCCTGACTTTGGTTTAATTGAAATATTATGATCGTCAGGTTTTGCATTTTGCCCGCAGGTCTGGCTGGGGCTGGAGAGATTGCAGAGAAATGCTCAGGACAAAGGAACACCAACAAAAACCCCAGAGCTTTTGGTGGATGGACTAAGAGAAGCAAGGGAGGCACAGATGTTCAGATTCTGGCACCCAAGCCAGAATCACAGCTCTTGCTACTTCTACCTTTTGAAATAAAAACCATTTTAAACAAAACCCATGTGCTGCCTTTTTTTTTTTTTTTTAAGAAAAACGACTCATTGTTTTTATTTCAACAGTAAATTTTAGAAACATCTTGACATACAGAACTCCAAAAAAATATAAAGTCATCAATCACTTAGTTCATTTACTAAAGGGGAAAAATACAGTACATCCAAGACTCAAACAGCCTGTACAAAAAACCAGACAGTAATAAACTGCATTAAAAAAATCGATCAAGCAGTACCTGACTGATTTGACATTGGCATTTGCCCCAATATTAAAAGGCACAGAAGACTGAGCAATGAAAGCGATCGGCATCACATCCATTATTGTCAGTAAATTCATCATGATTAGCACAAAACCCCTTTATCAAACACATGTTTAATATCCACCACGTCGATCAGTAAGAAATCCCTCCGGAAGGAGTAAGAAAATAAAGCTGGAAAGGGACGAGCATAGACACAGAGACCCCCCCGCTAGATGCAAAGAAATCCTAGAAATCGACGTCGAAATCTTCTCCATTTTTTTTTTTTCCTGGCTGTTCCATCACTCAGCAATCACTCTGAAGGAGATGCAATGATCCACAGACCCCCCCCCTCCAGCAGCACCACACGGGGCCCCCTCTGCTGTGCCCTGGGTGTCACCCACTGCTGGCTGCTTCACCACCCCACGGTCTGGAGCAGCCAGCAGGCACCAAAAGCTGCTGGGTTTGCCTGGTTCCAGCTGCGCTTTGGGCTCCCCATCACCCCGGGTAGCACATGCAGCAGCCAGCCCCGGCCAGCTCGGGGGCGGCTCTGGGGCGCGGGTCTCCGAAGAGGCTCTCGCTCAGTTTGTGCTCCGTGATGATGTCCTCCACCCTGGTGATGTACAGCAAGGACAGCAGCACTCCCACGAACTGCCAAGGGAAGGGAGACTCGGTCAACAACTCGAAAAAAAAAAAAAAATTTAAAAAAAACCGACCCCAAGCAAAAGCAGATCACCTCACCAAAATCCCACAGCGCCGTCGAGGAGATGCTACTGAATTACCAGAATGCCACCCCAGCTCACCAGTTATGTTAAATTCCAGAAGAAAATTATGGTTATAGCCAAATGAGATTTCACACAGCCACAAACCAGGTGTTCCCTCTCAGGTGAACTCTTACCTGGGGCAGCAGTATGCCGAGCAGCACTCCTGCCATGATGGTGTAGTTGTCCAAAAACCAGATGAGCACGGCGTTCGTGCACCCTCGGACATAGATCACGTCCTGAACGCTCAGGCGCTGCAAAATACCGCAGTGAGGGTTCAGCTCCACTGCTGGGGGACACGTGTGGCACCTCAGGACTCAGGCAGGCAGGGCTGCTCTGCCTCCCCACCTCTTTAAACCCACCGAGTTTCACACAGACCTCATCACTAACTCCTCCGTCTGCTGTCAAGCCACACCTCAACAAATCGCTCTGCTTTTCAAAAGTTATTCTACACCTGAGTAAGTTATTTCGTTGTCTTAAACCTGCTTGCTGCAGCTATTTTTCGGCAAGAATTCTCATTTAAGACCACTTGGAAAGCAGAGAAGTCCCTCTTTAGCTTTCATCTCCGCTCCCAAGTAGGAAACGCAGCAGCGGAAAAATATAAATTGCGGACCGAGTGCTTTGCAAAAAGACCCTAAAAAAGGAGAGGAACAAGAGGATTTCGGATTCAGTCCTGCAAGCTGTGCTGCTCCGTGACCCCAGCCCATAATATGGAAAGCACTTGAGGCTGCAGAGGGTCCTAAGCAGATGAATGGGGCGAAGTTAAGCACATGCTGAAGTGCTCCCTGTCAGAGCCCGGCTGGAGCGTTCAGGTGATTAAGCCACAAATCAATGAATCTAAATGAAGGCAAGTTGTATTTAGAGATAACCGGTAATCCCAAAAACCAACAACCGAGGCTGGCATTGTGCTCCAAGTGCCTCAAATGAGCCGGGGAGAGGAGTTTTCTCAGAGCAGCCCCCGCCCTGCCCCATCCCAGCAATCCAAAGCCAGGAGTGGGGAACGCAGGGCAGATCCAGTTACCGATTTCCCTCCTTAATCACTCTGCCATTACTGCCTGGAGCTGGCAGTCCCTCCTCTGGAGTCACTGGGGCTGGGAAGGCCGAAGGAGGAGACTCCATCCCACTCCTGGAGGGAGGAGAAGGCATCCAACACAAGCAGGGAAATCACACTGCTCTTCCAGGAATACCTATCACAGGCTTTAAAATAAAACATCCACTCCTGGGATATGAAATACTTAGAAACAGCTAAGTTGGCTTTTATCAAGGCCAATTTTACTCAGTGAGAAACTGTGGCTTCTAAGTACTGCAAGCTCTCCCCAACTCAAAGTCAGTGCTTCAAATGTTGAAAGCAGCTTTTTTGTGCATTAATTGTGCAATTAGCTTGGGGAAGTCGTCAACAAACAAGGAATCGTGGAAACTACAAAGAAGGGAAGCTACACAAATCAAACAAGATTAGTTTTTCCTCATATATGGTAATTATTCCAGAAAAAAAAAAAACAAAACAAAACATTTTAATTGCTGATTTTACCTCCTGGCAGATTAAAGCACATAGAAAACACTTTTATAATAGACTAAAAAAAAAATTTAAAAAGCAGAGAAGCAGCACTCTCTGCCATGACAGGGTGGGCACTGGCTCTGTTACCTCTTGGTCAATGGTTTTGTATCCACACATGGTGTTGATAATGTCTGTCTGAAAAGAAAACAACAAATATGAACTGCAGCAGGAAACTATAATCACAAATTATTTTTACTCCGTGTTCACCCAGCTCACACAAAAGCAGTGACAGGGTTATTTCCCAGTCCAACACCAGTTTGTCCCAGCAGCCCCAGGGACAGATTTAGTTAAAGTCTATGTGATTTTAGAGGAGTGAGTATCGTCAGTGTGTCACAAGGCATCTGAACCATTTCTGTCCAACAACACCAACGTGAGCTGTGACAGAGCTGTGTGACACAGCTGTTCCCACAGAATGAACAGCTGGATTTCCTTTTAAAGCCTTAATAACTTAACACACCTTATTACTAAAACCAGGGGTGAACACGGCCTTCATGCCAAGACGATGACAAATACAAGCTCAGAAATCTCTTCGGTTTCAAATCACCTCCAATGCTATGAATGCTTTTTACAAGACTAAATTCACAATATTCATGCAACACCATTATATACATGAACATAAATCCCATATATTTTAAAGAGACTGAGTGCTTGCATTCACCACAGATTATTTGCACATTTTCTGTAGCCATGTAATGCCTTCTGTGGGTTCCAAGGTTCTACCTCCAAAGCCTGGAAAAGCCAGCCTGAAAATATCATCCTACACTTAAAAACCATCCCATGTAAAAACCCACTGGCATCAAAGGAAGCAGTGAACAAAGCCAAAGACATGGAGGAAAACGAGAAGTTTTTAAGCCCTCAAAGAGCTGGGCTCTCACCTTTAACACACAACTGTGTGACAAACAAGGTTTTTGCACATTCCTAGAAGAAAAAGCTCAGACTATTCCACCGAGCTGCTGTAAAACTGTGTGGGGTACCCACGTGCCAACCACAGGTAATAAATAAATACATTTGGAAGTCAATATCAATATTAGGCACCAGCGTGTTGTGCTGGCTGTGAGTGATTCCATGCTCCCAAAACTGCTGAAGAGTGACACGTGGTCACTCCCAAAATATGTGACCACAAGGAATGCAGTCCCATCTCTTAACTTGAAATACAGAATTTGCTAACAGGATGTCCTGGTGTAAGCAAATGTATGCAGAGGAGATAAATCCATTGGAAACGGAGGATTATAGGCACTTGGGACTAATTTCTATCTGCTGCACTAGTGTAAGTCTTTAATAAATAATTTGACTTAAACATGGGTCCTTTAGAGCCCCCCCCAGTACGAGCTGGCTCGTGTTAGCAGGAGGTTTTCACAGAGGATCAGAATCCAGGCACAGACATTAGCAGGAGTTTTCCATGACTACAAAGCCCATGAGTAATCACAAACCATATCTGTAGCTCTCCACGACAGAAACCAGCCTGTATTTGGAAGGATTTGTCAAACACACAAGATTGATGCATCTCCTGGTTGTTTTTTTCCCCCCCCCCCAAGGCAGGCGTGCACAGCATCTCCCTGCTGCAGAGCCACCAGCCCTCACCTACTGCAGCACCTGGGTGAGCCACACTCCAATCCAGGGCTTCTCCCTGCCTTTCAATTAATTTCCTTAACACTTTTGGGCTGCAAGCAGCTTAATCTCCCCCCTCCCCAGCTGTTCAGTGAATACACTCCCCATTTTTCCCCAGAAAAGTTTTTATTTCAGTGCTTCCCCTTTCCTGAAGGCAAAACCCTGAGCTGTTCTGCTCCATCCAGCTGCAGATTCTTCCCCTCGGACACCTAAGACTCAAATCGTTCAGCTTTGGTTTCTGAGAATAAATCAAAGCCCATCACGGATTTATACAGAGCCATTCCCACCCACCCAAAGCGTGTGAGCACACACAATAAACACCTTCCCGTGGTACACATTTCTCAGCAGCACCCAGCAGGATTACTGACACAACCATTGCATCTATTTTTCCTTTTTTTTTTAAAATTAAACAGCCATGCTCAAGGCAGATGTTGAAGGGGCAGCCCAAACCAGGCAGCAGCAGGATATCCATCATGAGCTCAGCTCTTACACACACCCAATTTCTCTGTCGTGTGTTCAAACTGGAGACCAAAACCCAGCGAGGCAGGGACTGCCTGTACTGGAGCAGTTGAGGAATTCATTATCAAATTCAGCATTACATGCATCCTTTAAATGCAGAGCAGTGAATTACAGAATTAATTATAATTAAAACACATTTGCAGGAAAATCAACCCCTGCTCTTAGTGCTGCCAGCACCAGTTAGTTCATCCCAGACTGAGAAATTGGTTCAGACTCCAATCTTTCCAGGATTTTAGATTTTATCCCAGTTTTCAAGGACAGGTTGGGGCAGACCTGTACCCACAAGCTTGCCCTGAACCTGAGGTCAGTTGCTCTCATTTTTGGATTATTCTGGTGATGACGAGGTCATTCTCTTTGGTTTTCAACTCACACAGCAGCTGGATCACATCACTCTGACCCCCACCCACAAAAGCCACCAGGTCCCAGGCTTCCTGGGAAAACTGGAGCTGCAAACCCTGGGGAAAACACCAGCAAAACTGAATTTTAAGCAGCTCTGGTTCAGGTGAGCCATGAGATTAGTGGAGCTCCCACCATCCCTTCTGGGGCTGGGAAGTGGGGCAGTAAAAATGGACCACAGCCAACATATCCAATCCATTATTTTCTCCCTTTCAAGCTGTCATGACCCACAGATCCATTAGGGGAGGAAAGGACCTGTTTTGCTTCACTTCTAGCCCCAGACTTGCTGAATTCAGGCACCTTTTAAAGCCAGAACTTACCTTATTTCTGATGCAGCAAGTGTAGGGCACCCCACAAGCCAGTGGTCCTGGAGCTGCACAGTTGTGGTACACATTTTGGGACCAATCTCTATAATCCTCCCCACCACAGCACTTAAACTGGAAAGAGAAGAAAAAAAAAATAATAAAGACACAAAACTCAATGATCTTAAAGGTCTTCTCCAACCTAAATGGTTCTATGATTCCAAAAAGTAAAGGGAAAAGAATTATTTATACCTTAAACTCTTTAAACAAGTAGAAAACAAAGTAAGAATAAAACAATTTTAAAAGCCCTGAGCTACCGAAAAATTCTGTCATTTTATCAGCAAGGCATGCATGAATGCATATGAGAAACACAATTCAAAAGAATTAAAGATAATATTCCTCTGTCACACATTGACCTATAACCAAGGGTGCCAAAGCAAAGTGCAAAGTTCCACCTCCCATCTTTTCTGAATTGAAAAATTCTCTCTGCAGCTCTGGACATCATTAAGAACTGTTTTCACACTGACTCCACCTTGACCTGTAATCCACCTCTGCACTTGTTTTAAGGATTATGACTACATTTCCAACTGGATCTAAAAGACAAAAACGTTGCTACGAGGCATAAATTCGTCTCACCAAAACATTGTGGGTGTAATTTAGAAGAACTGAAAGCTGGCAAACAAATGCTGCAAGTTTACGCTGACTTAATATAAATATTCACTTTATAATTTAAACCGAGGGAAAAGGAGGAGTTCATTTAATTTAACTAACGTGTAAGCTCGCTGCGTGTACCCATAATTTTGGGCAGTGCATGGAAACTTTAAAGCATTATGAAGCCTAATGACAAAATTTCCTCAGGATGGTGTGCTTTTGACAGACTTTCCATGCTAACTTTGTTTTTCAAAGCAGGCTGCCATCTCCATAACGATGTCCTAGAATACATGTATCACTTCCTAAGTCAATTTTTTTTTTTTTAATAACCATTACTTGGCATGGTCATGGACAACACATGGGCCCTGACATCACATTTCTGAACACTTCTTGCTTCTTCTACAAAGCACTGCATGGCAGAACTCTTCAATAACCCAATAAACATTTCAACAGACCAGCCTTATTAAAATAAAAAAAAAAAGGCTGTGAGTCAACCCCACGTGCCATTAAGTAATGCCCAGCTGGGCTCACCAGACTTTCTGAATTTTAATTACAGGTAGAGACTCTTCCACTGGTGTTTCCTTCCAACATCCACCTCGTTAAAGAGCTCTGTGCATGCCCTCCAGCAGCCAGGCTGAATTTAGGCTGAATCCACCTGTGGGGCCACCACAAACCAAAACAGGTTTGTAGGATCTGACCCTGGGCATTGGAATTGCACCTGCCAAGGCAAAAGCTGCATTTTGGCCCTCTCTCTTTTTGCAGTGATGTAAAGAGGGTTTTAAATGCCAGCTGGAATGCTGGATGAGCCCTGACCTCAGAAGCAGCACCACAAGAAATGACACACGAGATGTCATCCAACTTGATCGTCACATCACTGGAAAAACTCAAAGCTGCTGCTGAGTTAGTCCAAGGGGGGAAAAAAAACAACAAAAGAAACCAACAAACCTGCTTTTGAACAGAATCCATGATGTTCTTGAAGTCTAAATCATCGTAGTAATTCTCAATCCCTCTTCTAATGTTATCATTCAAAAATTTGATTGTCTAGAAAGCAAAAGGAAAACAAGATTCATGGGCTGCACAATATGCACAGAATTAGATGAGCAGGTTGAAGTGACAAGTGTAACTGATGAGCACAAAAGGAAAGGCTTTTTTTTTTCTTTCTATTTTTAGAGAAAAAACTAAAACACTGGTTAAAACCAAATTTTAGCACAGCAAATTCAGGGACTAATCACAACCAGAATGTAACAACTTTCAATCCAGCTGTTGATTGTTAAACAAAGTTAAAGCCTTACAGGTCAGAAAACCTGAAACACACCCACTCATCTTCTCAGTATTACAAACTGCAACACTAACAAACCAACGAGAATAAAAAGATGATATAAGTGATGAGAAATAATACAGGACCCTCCTAACTGGTCAAGAACCTCATTTAGACTCTACAGATTTGAAAAGGAAGTAGAGGAAGAAATGGGAAAAATGCACATGACACTCAAAACAAACAGGACTTAAACAGAGGCTACTACCCAAAGCTTCCATAAATATTTTCTTGTTCTCCACATAAGAACCCAAACTTCTCCACTAACCTTGAAAAACAAGGGAAGAAACCTGTCCCTAAGTGTAGCTGTCCTGCTATAAATTGAAGAATACATATCTAGTGCTTGCCACAGTGAATGCATTTATGTTTTAAATCTTTTATAACTGAAAAAAAAAAAATAACCTGGTGCTTTCTGTGCAGAAAAATCAGGGGTTTAAGTTACAGCATGCTTGTCAATGATGGAGTGTGCTATAGAAATTAGGTATGCTGCTTATGGATGTGGGCAGGGGAGGGCTGCCCTTTAACTGAGGCAAAACATTTTTGGCCACTAAAAAACAAGAGTCTGCAAATCCATCTGGAAACTTCCCAAATTAGCAGTCAGACCCAGATGGCAAAACAGAAGAAGGCATTTTGTCATGCACAAAGAGCTGCAAACTCATTCTGCCTGCACTGCACATTTGTAGCCACCAGATTTTCTCCAAGTTTGTTAACCTGGAATTGGTCTCCAGAATGGTGAAAAAAACCTCACCGTGGCTGAGCCCTGAAAAGCCTGGACCTGCCTCCAGAGCTCCATCACTGAGTGCCCAGGTGACAACTTGAACAGCTGCTTTTCACCACAGCTGGATCCTCCCGAAGCCTGAAGCAAGCAGCTCACCTGGTTCCTGAAAATCAGGGCCACCACTCCACCTGTCAGCTCAATCAGCAAGCAGAGCCCAAGGATGTACATGAACTGCAGGAAAACAAGGGCAAGTGAGTCATTAGACAGAACTCCAATTACTCTTTCAATTAGTTCCCTCAAGTCTAGCATTCAGTTGCCAATAGGCTTGGCTTTCAGCATGGCATTTTAAAGGAAAACATGAAATTATGGGTTTGTTCTTATAAAACTGTCAATGCCATGAGAAAGCCTTTTTTCCTCACTTAAATTATTCTGGGTTTTGCCCAACTGGCAAGCACGTTATTTTTCTGCTCTGAACAAACTCAAAACCATTAGATGTAATTATCCTGCCAAGACACTTCTTTCCACAGCAGCATCCCAGAGCAGCATTTTGATGGACTGCTACCAACCACACCACACTTCATGTTTTTTATGCTTCCTACAAAACCAGAACTCACCCTTTCAATTTGTGGATAAAGCAGCACAATTTAAGATAATCCCAACCACCTTCTACCACATTGCCAGTGATAAATCAAAGCAGAATTTCAGGCTTGGTACTTTTCAGTGTGTTGCTTCCCATATTTATTTGCCTGTGCATACACACGTGCTCAAAAATGCACTCACACACACAACCACGTGTGTAAAATGTGAAAAACGTGAAGAAATCCATTGCACTGTGAGAGAGCTGCAGCATGCCAGCACTTGACATGTTTTTCCAACCCTTCAGGCATAAAAGATGGGTGTAAAACAAATTCAGGTCTGCTGTGTAACAACGAGCTTCATCAGGAGTGATGAAAATACCTGAAAATAATCCCTAATGCTCTCCTCTGAAAGCTGCTTTAACTTCTGTGCTCTCAATGTCAGGAATTCACCAGGCAAGTGAATTTATCTTTTCTCCTGCTAAATCTGGCATCAGGGACTTGCTTTGTGGAATACCCAGCTGGGTTTGCTACCAGAATGGGAACAGAAAATGTCCCCAGCATCTGACACACCACCACTCTCAGTGGGAAAAGTGAGTAAAATTCCAGTACAACTTCAAAACCCACGGTTATTTCTGCCTTGGCCCTCCATAAAAAACCACATTTTTAGCATTTTTTGAGACATGACAAGGCCAGGTTGGGTTTTGAGCAGCCTGGTCTAGTGCAAGGACTAGGGACATAAAAAGTCCCCTCCAACCCAAACTCTGTGTGACTCTGTGCAGGTGAGAACAAACTTTGCACTCTTTAGTTTTCATCAGTCACATGTGCAGCTTCCATCTGCAACCACAGGAATTTCCCTAAAATTCACCTTTTCAGAGGCACCGGGGAGAAAAAGAAGGAATAAAAATCCCAACACTTACTGCTTGCAGAAGGCATAAATTGTCTCTCAGAGAAGCCAGCACACCCACAAAGGAGACCAGGAACATTACAATGCCCAAAAGTATTAAAATAATTGCTGGGGCTAGAAAGGCACTTTCTAGAGTTTTGTACTTCTGTCTTTCAATTTCTGCATAAATCCCAACGCCGAGGACCAGGGCTCCAATCAGCTGGAAGGGAAGCAGAGCAGAGCACGGATGTTACTCCTTCTCCCAGTAAACACAGAGATGACAGCCTGTGAGCACACAGGAACCTGGCACTGCTCACTTCAGGATCCACTATAAACAATGAAACACTCAGAGCACAAGTTTGGATTAAAAAAAAATAAAATAAAAAAAATAAAAAGTCAAATAGTAAAGCGAAAAAAAAAAAATGAAACTCGTTCATTTCAAAAATATGTTTCATCATGTTTTAACATTCTGGATATTAAACTAATCAAAATATACATCATTGCCTGAAATGTAATTTATTACCCATCTGAGATCACACATATCACCCATATGAGCAACTGCCATGGCATTAATGACACTCCTCTGAGTGTCTGTCCTTCCTTATAGAAATATACAGAAATATAAATATTTCTATCTATTTGTCCATAAATACACAGAAATATAAATATTTCTATCTATTTGCCTATAAATACATAGAAATATATATGTGCCTCTAAGAGAACACAGTTTCTAAGCTGGTCTGCAAACAGCCTATCTGTCCCTTCATATTAACTCCTACTGTATTAAATACAGTCAGGTATTTCCTGTCTCTCCACTCCTCCTGCCATCAGGAGAAAGGCATCAGATTAACAACTTTAAAAAAAAAAAAAGATTTAACAAGGTAAAGACATTTCAATCAAAATAATTAGTTAAGTCAAAATAATTTGGTATTAAAACCACGGTGTGCTGCAAATCACTTTGAATTACGCTGAATTAATTAGAATTCAAAATAGCCCACGATACTTAATGACAAAAATCGCAGTGGAAAAACTTTCCAAGAGCCAGCCACATGGTCAGGGAAGAGACCAGGCACAAATCAATCATTTTGGCAATCTGATAAACACCACTCCCCTTTCCTGAGCTGACATTTCCACAGGAAACACGAGTCTGCTCTCTGCACACCAATGCTTCTTAATTACACTTCTTAATTTTTAATTTCACTTCTGAATTTTGGATATGGCACAGTATATCCCACACAGGGGGCTGGAGGGACCCATGATGTGAGTTATGAGTTCAGGAGCCAAACTGTTGAAATACTTTTTTAATTATGGGATATCTTAAAATAAATAGCAACTTACTGGAAGTTCTTGATTTTCTGTGGAAATGAATGATGACACCAAAGGATAATATGTAGGGGATGCCACCAGTTTGTCATTTAAAGAGATAAAATTCTCAGAAGAATTTTCACCCATAAAAATGAAATACATTGAAGCTATTTATAAAGCAACTTAAAATTTGACCAAATTGAGAGTAACCCCCAAAACCAGATTCTCCTGCAAACACTGAAGTGCCTTTAACAACAATAACTCTTGCCTGGTAGACTCCTTGTTTAAAAAGAAAAGAAAATAATAAATAAAGAAACACTGGACACAAACCACAGGTATTAAAGCTTGACAGGGATTATCAGAATTTCAGAGGAGCGTTGTTTCAAGACTAGAACTTTTTACTGAAATGTCCTTTTCTTAAGCACAGTTTTCTCATCAAAACATTAAATTTCAGGGGGCTTTTGACTAAAAGGTGCCTGCAAGTAAAATACCTTAAGACACATAAATACATATAGCATTTTTATGTACACATATCTTCACCCCACATCCTCCAAGATTTAAGTTGCCATTCTCTCCTCTTTTCTTAAGCATTTAATAAAAACCTTTTAAACCTTTAATACGGCCAAGCCAACAGCAGAATTTACTCATGGCAAGCAGATGTGCTAAGCCAGCAGCCATCCCACTTCCCTGATCTGTGCTCTCCCTTCCTGAGCCTGGGGAAGGGGAACACAACCCCTATGGACACAGGCACTGTTTACATCCTGCATCCTTCACAACAGCTCCCAATTTGGCAATTCCAGCTGTGTACTCAGGAAAAAAATCAACTGCCCTGACTCACACTAAATGAGCATCACCAGCAAATACCAGGGGATTTCTCTGGGGCTTTTGCACACACAGAAGCTGCTTTCCCAAGAGAAAGGAGAAGCCTTTGTTTATCTATTTATTTATAAGCAGAAGCTTTAACCCTGTATTTACAGTTCTTTTTCTTAAATAAAGCTCAACAACAGCAACTTCTGTTTAAAATGTTGGGTTTTTGTTTCAGCTGGGAAGTTGCAGACAGTTTTTAAAAAATCCTGTGGGGGACAGGGGAAGACCTCAAGGCCTGTAGCTAACATCCCCTCCAACACTTTAATTTCCTTTCTGCTCTGGATAAGGCTGCTATTTAGCTCTTGGGGACTCAAATCTGGGACTTCATCACTCACAAAGTACCAGGGGAACTGCAAGAGCAGGGAGGGAATGGAATGAACTCAGCACCCAGCAGGTCAAAGCCCCAACCAGCATCACAAACATCACAAACCACCCCAATACTCTAGAAAGGCAACACTCCCACTGCCAAGCTTTACTTCAATTTACACTGATTAAATAAAAAAATTTAAAATGAAATGAAATAAAAAGAAATTAAATTAAATAACTGGACAGGAATAACAGTGCTGAAAAGAGAACTGGGCGACTGACATTTACATTTACAGCTGATGAGATCTGCTTTGCTCAGCTGGAATAAAAGAAAATTCCGAGCCCACACGCCTCACATGGAATGCTGCCCAGAGCCAGCCTGCCCAAAACAATTCCCTGTCATTCCCTGTCCTTCCTTCCCCCCCTGGCATCCCCCATCCTCCCCCTGCCAGAGCAAACCATCTCTCCCAACAAATGGAAGCTCTTTGCTCACAAACGAGGGCAGAGCATTGAAAACGCAGAGCGAGCAGCTACAAAGAGTAAATAAAAATCCTCGGGCTGCCTGAAAGAGGCTTTGTCCTCCGAGGGTGGTTTCAGAAGGGCTCTTTCTCTGCCACCAGATGAATGTTTACATCCCACCAGCAACGCTGCAAAAAAAAAAAGGGGGGGGGTTTGAAAAATAACACGGCAAATGCGAATTTCCCTACTGCCAAACTCACAACCGCAGAATTGCTGTGGAGGAACACAGGGAGCACCAGGAGCCTAAACCCAAAGGTTGGTTTCTGTGCTAAGGAGGACAAAAGAAATCCCCAAATCCCCAAAGGCCTGAATTACACCCGATCACTTTGCGTTTCGTTAAATCATAGGTTGAATCTGGCACTCGCTATCAAACCTGGTGGATCTAAGCCTCTTCTCCCACGCTGCAAAGCAAAAGCCTTATGCTCCCAGCTGGTAAATACCCTGTCAGACAAAAACAGACCAGCCAAACTAGAAGTGGAAAAGCCAGACAGAAAAAGCACCTCTGACATCAGCACCACCTGAAACCAGCATCTTCTTCCCGGTAGCCCAGAGCCTGAAAAAAGCACCTTGAAAAATCACGGTGCTTACAAAGAGCACTCGCAAAGGGCCCCAAAGGGCTCCTCCCAGCCCAGGGGGGTGCCTGGTGTGGATTTACAGCACGTCAGAAGTCAGTGGTCACGGTCTGGACCCGCCACCTGGGAATCCCCGGCTTTACCGAACACCTGGATGAGCAGAGCAAGTGCCGCGCACCTGTAAGCCCTGTCCAGCCTCACCGAGCCGAGCCGCAGGAGAGGGCACAGGCAGCACACCGAGGAGTGGCGCTGGAGGGAGGGCAAAGGCTCACCTCCGAGCAGTGTTTGTCCCCCTCCCCTGCAGGGCAGAGCCGCGCTGGAAAGCGCACACGAACCATTTCCACCTTCCCAAGCTCCCAACCCCGGCGAGTCCCCATCCAACAAAACCAGTTTGTCACTCCCCGGGCAAGGACGGGGCGCTGCCAGGGCCGTGCCAGCCGCGGGAACATCCATTTAATGGCCTTTTAAAACCCGAGCCCTGCTCCCCCCAGCCCCGCTCACCCAGAACGTGGTGGAGTAGGTGATGAGGGTGAGCTTCAGGCACAGGTAGGAGAGCCGCCCGCAGTACCGCGCCCGCTCCGGGTCCCCCGCCGCCATCCTCCGTCCCTCCTTCCCTCCCTGCCTCCCTCCTTCCCTGCCTCGGCACCTGCCGGGCCCTCCGCCCCTTCCCGGAGCCCGGAGCGGCCGCCCCGACGGGCGGGCCCGGGGGCGCCGCCGCTTCCGGCCCCGGCTCCGGCCGCCCCTTCGCCTTTACTCTTCTCCTGGCTTCTTTCTTTCTTTTTTTTTTTTTTTTCCGCTCGGTCGGGATTAGCCCCGCGGCTGGACGGATATATCTGGCGTCTCCAACCGGAATCGGAGCCCTACGCGCATCCCCAAACCTCTGCCATCGCCATTAAAACAGCCGGGAAAACAACAACAACCAAAAAAAAAAAAACCCAACCAACACGGCCATGGGAAGCGCTCCGATTTTTGGTCGAGCATCCGAAAACACGGCAAAGCAGATTCCCTACACCAGCAGGAGGAAGCGCTGCCAGGGCGTTTGCATCTCTTTATGTCGCCCACGCGGTTGCACATGCAAAGAGGGTCACGTCTTGCCAGTGGCAACAGCCGCCGGGCGCATTGCTCATTGCATATTGCACATTGCTTATTGCATATCGCTTTTTTGCATTTTGCTTTTTGCACATTGCTGGCCACGCTTTGTGCCCGCGCCGACGCTCACCCGCTCCCCGCTGCCGTGGCAGTGGGTCCGTGCTGGGTCTGACACAGCGATCATGAACTGCAAACGCCATTCACTCCTCCGAGATGAAAAAAAAAAAGCCCTTTCAAGCCCGCGGTGCCCCACTCCTGTCCCACAAAGGGCTATTTTCCCCGCGGGGGGGGAAAAAAAAAATCTCATTCAAAGTGGCAGACAACTGTCACAGAGTTGGTTGTTTCATCCTGGCCCGGAGCAGAGACAGATGGCATTGAAAATCAGTGTCTGGTGTCAGAGGAGATGAAGTGGGGCAGCATTCATCCTAGCAAAGAGACTGGAAAACCTCTGAGCTGTCTATGAGAACTGTGTAAACATTCAGCCGCACGTCATTTCTTTCGATCGTACAGGTCACCAAAATCTCGTTTCTAAAGGCTAAAAAATATCCCTGGATAATTCTGTTATAAAAAGTACCATTGGTATCACCTGCAGTGCTGCTACGTTCTGATTCTGGAAAACAATCCAGCCCAGGACACTCCCAGCGACAGAACAGCTCTTCACCTTTAATGTTTCTGACAGCAATACAGTGTCCTAGAGCATTCATCCTCTAAAATACCAACGACTTCAGTTTTCGGAGAGATTTGCAAACATCCCTGACACTCAGCAATGGCGTTCAGGCTGGAAATCCCATCACATACAGTTGCTGGGAATTAGTGTTTGTCACATGGTCTTCATGTCTCATGGGTGTCATTCACATCCAAGCATGTTCTTGTCACTAAGGCATCTTCTTTGTTTGAGTATTTAACTAAATTAGTTGTTCCAGTTTGACTTTTTTAATACCTCACCTCGTCCTCTGTGCTGATTCCTGCACGTAAAATTTCAGGGCACATCCTGCTGGATGGCGAACCTGAGTAAAAGAATATTTGTTTTCCTGTTGTTTTCCCTGGGAACTGAATCAGTGTATCAAAACAGGTTCCTGTTATGAAACTGCGTGACAATAATTGAGTAATCCCTTTCTTTCTCTGAATCCCAGACTTTATCTATACAAATGACAAGATTTCTGGACACAATTGCAGTTTAGCAGCAAATGGTGTTTAAATTAAGATGTTATGAGCTGCCTAAGGGTCCGTCATGATTGTGTTCTCTCCCCCTCACCCCAGTGCAGCACAGGGCTGCAGTTTTCCAGTGAAGAGCCTGGCAGATTGTTCATTACAGCATCTGCTCCTGGGACCATCCAACAGCACAACTAGCAGCGTTTCTGTTCATTTTAAGGGTCAGTAACTTCCACATTTCCTCACTCATCGCCAGGGGTTGTCCTAAGGACACCAGAAGCCATGGACTGCAGAGCATTTGCCCCAGGGCCTCAGGAGCTCTGCAGAAAGAAGTGAAGGACAGCTAGCCCTGCACCAAACCATGTCAGAAAGACCCAAAGCTTCTCAGTTCTACCAGAGGCGTTTTTGCTGCTTTCCCCCAGCCCACATGTGGCTGATGGAGCTGCACTTTGCCCCACCTGAGGTGGATGCTCATGGTCCTCATGTCCCACTCTCAGAGCTGCTGCCTGGACAAAGGTTCTTCCTCCAAAAGCAGAGTCCAACTTGCCATACAATTAAAGCCTCGACTGCCTATTTTACCTTGTAGTATGTTTCCAAAACACAAAACACACTTCAACCACCCTCCCTGACCTTGCAGACCCGCATCTTTTGTTTGCATCTCTCACCCTTTGCTCAGACCTGGCTTTGGTGACTCAGCACAGGAGCGTTTGGCCTTGACAATCCTGCCCATAATAAAAACAACAGTGAAACCAGCCAAACCCAAACCCCCTTGCTCCCAGGTAGTCCCATTGTCTGGTATAACTCCAAAACCACTGGTGATGGAGGTTTTACCCACTGTCTCAGGCAAATGTGACTTCCCTGAGGAATCTGGAGCCAGCCTGTGTCAAAAATCGCTCCAGTTTTCAAGTCAAAAGGCTGATAGCACACACTAAATCGCTGGCTGGGCTCCAGGATGATAACCTTGTCAATGCACAACCAGCAAACGAATAAAAGGTGTGGGTGTGGATACAGGAAGGCAAATCCCTCCGGCTCGTATGAGGAAATGTTGACCAAAGGGTGGCTGCTCTTCGATTATCACCTGAGTAACAGATCAGGGAGCAGGGCAGATGGTTCACAAGGAGGTTCCTAAGAGACCTGAGCACCTTGAACGTCTTCAAAGTCAGCCGAGGGAGGTTACAGCTTCACCAGTGAAGGGTCAATAAGTGCAGCCCTTTTTCTAAGCGTTTGCTTCCATTCTACTTTCCTTAACTGATAAAGCACTTTAGTGCACTCCCAGCGAAATGTGGGGAGGTCTTTGCTCCTATTCTCCTTCAAATTTGCAGGAATTTGAGACAGCACATTAAAAAAATTTTTGAAGAACATTATTAGCTCGTATTGCAAGTCATGAACAGCCCTCCTGAACTGTGTACAGTCCCTAAGCTCTTCAATGAAGTGTCAACATAAAACTTTGAAGAATGACCTGGAAAAGCTTTTTTCCCCTGGAAAAGCTTTGCAATGCACATTAGAAGATATGTACAAATGTACCTTTTCGGTTCCTGGGTAGGGAATTGAGAGGGATTACCTGCAGGGAAGTCTATTGGGAAGAGAAGGAGACATCGCGTGCAGGACTACAGGTATTGATTTCTTTAGAAGCAACATTTGGGCAATATTGTAACAGAGGAAACCTGCTTGAAAGGGTTGGTTAGGCGATGGGATAATTCAAGGCTGCCTCCAGAAATCAATGAAGCAAGGAAATATTCCAGGCTGATGCTGGTGCACAGGATCCTGAACTGATAAACACTGCCCTGTTAGAGGAGAGCCTGGCACCAGCTGCAGCTCCAGCGGCTCCGAGAGCTGGGAGACTCCTGCCATCCCAGAGCTGCAGGCGCTTCTGGATCCTGAAGGCAACTTTTCATCCCTGAAACACCTTCAGCTCCCAGTGGAGCAGGCACGAATCAGTGCCAAGCACTCTTGGAAATCTCAGCCTCATGTTTATGCCCTCTGCTTTAAAGCTGACAGCGAGCAAGAGCGCTGTGCTCCGAGCAGAGTCAGGGGTTCCTCTTTCTTATGAGAACCTGAAATTTCTGCATGCATGAGGTCACCAAGTTCCTACAGCACACGCTGGGAAAGGGGATGCAGCCATCCAAAAGGAAGGATCTTGCTGAATTGCATCGAATATAGTTCCTCTCTTGCTACGAGAGCTCACGGGAAGCCAGGCAGGGTCCTGGAAACACGAGGATTGCAGGACTGCTAAACCTGGCAAAGTAACTCGCGCGTAAGCCTGTAAAATCCTGATAGAGCAGCGTGGCCATTGCAGAGGTGATTGAAAACTGAGTGGAGCAGGGTGGGGGGAAGCTTCACGTACCACTTTGCCACGTTTCATTAGATGTCAAATTGGTTGTTTAGTTTTCCCCTGCAAGAGACTCCACCTCCTTTCAAAGTCCCCTTAAAACCTGTCGAGATTTTATCCCAGTGCAACTCCTGCCTCGGGCTGAATAGTTACACAGGGAAAGAGCAGCAAAAGTCCTCAGTCCCACTGCAGGGGATTCAGACACCTGGTGCTTTAGAAAACTGCTGCCCTGACAAAGAATTTCTGCTTGGATTGAAGTGTTTTTTGGCTTCCGTTCATGTTTTCCTGTCCCTGAAAGCAATCTAAAGGAAGACATCACTTGCCACTGGCCCGGAAAACACCTTCATTTCCCTTTCTTTTTGTTCCTTTTTTAGAGGAAGAAGACACTTGAAGAAGAGAGTTGTTCTTTAGTTTTTGCTCTTCAAGCACAGGTTAAAATGCCAGGGAAGAAGGAGGAGGCCCTTGGCATCGCTCATCTCCTCCTGGAACTGCATTGCATCACTTGGAAAGCAGGGCGAGAGGACACGAGACAGCTCATCCCGGTGTCTTTTCAACAGCACTTGGTTAAATGCGTGGAAATTCATGCCACCAGCACCTACTGAGAGGAAACGAGCAGACACCAGATGATTTTCTTTCACACTTACAAGCAGTGAGAAGCCATGGGCGCGTTTCCCGTTTTTAACGCGAGCAACGTTTCGCAGGCTGGCTCCCTCGAGGACGGCGGCAACTGGACAGCAGCGACCCAGTTCAGCCAGCCAGGGTGGAGGATTGCCCTGTGGGCCATCACCTACTCCCTCATCGTTGTCACATCCATCGTTGGCAACGTCACCATCATCTGGATCATCCTGGCTCACCGCAGAATGAGGACCGCCACCAATTACTTCATCGTTAACCTGGCCCTTTCGGACCTGCTCATGTCGGCCTTCAACACCATCTTCAACTTCATCTACGCCAGCCACAACGTCTGGTATTTTGGTGAGGAGTTCTGCAGGTTTCAGAACTGGTTCCCCATCACCGCCGTGTTTGT